GCGAGACTACAAGCAATCCAAACAGTCCGTTTAAGTACAAATAGGCATAGTTGTCTTCACTAGTATTAAAACTAATAAGATTTATCAGGACAAATTCAAATAAAACTTGACATTCCTTCAACATTCAGCTTCAAAGTCGCGCATACACAATGATTCATGTTTCCAGGACTCCTAAGTTAAGGAAGTATACCTGAGTATCAGATCACAACAAGGAGAAATAGGAGTCAGCAGCAAGGTCAATAGCAATGCAATAACAGGAATCAGCAACTTGTTGATCAATTGTAAATCCAGAAACACAAGCAAACCAGCCAAATAGCACAAGTAGACCACCCAAACAACTTGAACAAATCCAAACCAAATGCGAAATTACCCAGAACAAACTCTCAAACTTCAGCAATCAGGACATAAGGACATTTAATCTAGAAAACTCGAATCAGCAACTGGACTTTGAGATTAATCTAAGGAATTTCAGTAGAACAGAAATTTTTTTTTGGAATTTTTTTATTGTTTCTGTTTTTGAAGGTTTTTAATCTAGAATGAATCTTGTTTTTGTATTTGAAATTCAAATTTCCAAGGCTAAAGCTTACTGAAAATGTTTTGGGGGGAAAATTTGGACGCTGGAGGTTTTTGGGGAATTTTTCAGATTGAAACCTGTTTATCAACGCACTAGGCCCCCCTTTTATAGGCAAGAATAAGGGTAGAAAGTTCTAGAGGTTTTCACTCATTTTCCCCCCTTTTTATTTTAGAATTTAGTGATTAATCCCTGAATTTGTGGCTTGTTGCCCAAGTTACTGCTCTAAGAATCTTGAAACTTACACTAAGACCCCCCTTCATTAAACTAATTAAAAGCAACTAGTAACAATCATAAGGAAACACTGAATCGACAAATTAAGATCATAAAACCCAAACAAAGTCGATTGAAAAATTATGAAAACACACTACAAAAAAAGGGTAAATTTGAGGGGGTCATATTGTGGGGGTTATAGGTAACCCTGCAAATTGCATCAATTTGTGGAGGCTTTGGCAACTGACACAAATTAGTTCAATTTTGTGAAGATTTAAAAACGTCACAATAATTGTATTACGTTTTTATACCATATTTGAAGGTTTGAGGTTATTAACCTCCACATATTTTGGAAAGAAAGAAAACTCCACATATAAATCGTTAATAAATAAAACTTTTTTTTTGTATTGAAGTTTTTATNGGGGTGGGGACTGATTCGAGAGAAACCAGAGTTGGATATGGAATGAGGGGGTTGAGAGGAAGTCGGGGTGTTAATTTAGGGTGATTTGGAGCATCGCCGCCGTAGGCGGCGGAGACGGTGACTAGTATTTCGAAGATTTGAGGGGTTTGGAAGGGAATCGAAGAAAACTAATCCCAGATTGGGAATGAGGAGAGGAGGAGGTGCTGTGGTGTGATTTTGGGTGAGATTGGCCAATCGCCGCCGGCGGAGGCGATTTCCGGACGGCGGCAGACGGTGGCATGCGGCGGAACTAGGGTTTCCGGTGAGGGGTTTGAGAGATGAGAGGGTAGGGGGGTCCTGAGGGGGGTAGGATCGTTTGGACATATATATAGTTTTTGATCTAGGCTTCTCGTCCGTTGGATTAAGAAACCTAGACGGCTAGGATCGATTAGGGCCTAAACTACGTCGTTTTGGGGTTGCGGGGACCTGGACCGGGTTGTGACGCGGGTCTTGGGCTGGGTTAACGGATTTGAGGTGGGTTTGAGGGGTTCTGGGCTCAATTTTGGCCCAAGACTGATGGCCTGATTGACTCTTCTCTTGTTTTAATTCAATTAATCACTTTCTTTTTATTAAAATCCTTTTCTTTTCTTTTTTTTTCCTTTTTATTTATTTGTTTTGTTTATTTCTTTACAAAATTAAAACTAACAAAACCTAATTTAACTCCCCAAACTTAGACTAATTAATTTCTAAAAGAATAGACTAAGTCCTAATTTAAAATTGTGAAAAGACCATTTTTTTATTTTTCTCTCATTTTAGTAATATTAATTAACTAGTAAGACTAAAAATATAAAATCGAATTCTAGATGCAAATGCACTATTTTTGTACTTTTTTATGAATTATGGCAACTAAGATGCACACAAAAATGCAAACAAGGCACAAAATCATGCAATTAATTCAAATAATAAAGAAAAATCCTAATTCTAAGGAATTTATAGGAGTAATTTAAGCGTGGCAAAAATCACGTGCTCACAGCTTCTGCGGCTCGCACCTGCGGTCCCCAATCCACGGGTGCGGTTATGACAGAAACACAGCAGCTTCAGCTGCAACTCTAACTTCCAAACTTTCTGATAACCATCCGAAATCATCCCGAGGCCCCCGGGACCTCAACCAAAGATAAGAATAAGTCATATACCACTATTCAAACTTGTACCAATCTTCGGAACACGCAAAACAACATCGAATCAATTAACATAATAGACTCCTAATATAACTCAACAAACTCAATTATAACACACAAATTTTGTATTTTCAGTTATAAAAAAGATTCTCAATCGAAAAATATCCCAAAACATAGTAATCTTCAGAGAAATTATATAATACATCTGATTACATAAATTATATTAATTTAAAAAACATATGAATACATTCATGGCATATAGCGAGATAGTGAATACAATGAAATACATAGAATATAGCGGGATACATTGAAATACAATGAAAAAAAAGACAGTGAATACAATGAAATACATGTAATACAACGAGATACATTGAATTACAATGAAAAAAAAAGACAATGAATACAATGAAATACATGAAAATATTTGAAATATATTAACAGAAAATCAAGTTGCTCAGCCCCAAACTCTGTCATCTTTGTTCAAGAAAAAACCCTAATTTCCGGCGAATCCGCCGTTCCGTTCTCCGCTGTGAACCACAGCAGAATAGCGGCCAACAAAATCATCATCAGAAGAAAAAACATTGCATGTGTGCGCCGACAAATCATCCAGGTTCATTCCGTTGTAGCCTTCACAAGAATTCAAATCAGACTAAATATGCCTATATCAATACGACGACGAAGACAAAGACGAGTCATTAGCACTTCAATTTGAATATTATGCGGCGGTCGGCGATGGTGAATTCGCTGGTTTGGATTGGAGCAGTTGAAGATGGCGAATTGACAAAGAGGAAACTTACTGCTTTCATTATTGAATAGCGTATCCAAATAGAGAGAGAAAGAGAATAGTGTAACTGAATAGCGTATTTAGTCGCTTAGGGGTAGGAGGTAACCAAAATTAGATATTTTGCTATAAACATTAAAAGGTATCTATAGGATATAATTTTTTTAAATGGTATTTATTTAAAATAAATAAGGCGTTAACCTTTGCTATAGGAGGTAAAAATTCTAATCTAAAATTTAATAGCTTTTATATTCTATGTAATTGAGGCATGTAACACTAATATTTGAAATATAAATTTCAAATACTTTAACATTTCATATGATTAAATCAAGCCAGTTCAAGTATACTAATATAAATACTTCAAGCCTAGTCTTTAAAGGTTTAAAAGCCTTGACAAGTCTTGAAGCAGGGGGCATTTGTAGGCATATAAATTTTATAAAAATTAAATCCATAAAATAATTTGGACTATATTTTAAATTCAAGATATATTGGTCCAATAAATACTACGGGCTAACATAATTGAATTAATTATATAAGTCTAATATATATGGATTAAATAAATAAATCTTAATCCGTTGGGCTAGTCCATTTAATTGGACTAAAGTGATGAGCCCACTTCATTAAGCCCAAGATGCCATCTTCTTAGAGGCCCAGTTTGGTGCCATGTGTCAAATGACGTGGCGCGCCAAGTCAAGCGGAAGAGCCAATAGGACCATGCCACATGTCAAAATGACAAGGCATGCCCAGTCACACTGAAGGCCAATGAAATCGCGCCACATGTGCAAGTGACATCTTCTGACCAATCAAATGCGGCCATGTCACACTTCAATTTGATTGGTCGGAAAGAGTTTGTTCTTATCATGACTCCTCCCTTCCACAACTATAAATAGGGGTCTTCGTAACTCAGAAAAGACACCAGAAGTTATAACAAGAAGCAAGAAAGAGCTCGTGTATCAAATGCTGCAAATTCCTCCACAAGTTTCAAGCTTCAAGCAATCAAGTTCAAGTTCAAGCTCAAGACGAAGACCAAATCAAGTTCAAGTCCAAGTAATCAAGCTCAAGCTCAAGCTCAAGAACAAGATCATCGTTCGTGGCAACACCTACATATTCAAGATCAAGCTCAAAGGCCCTTGGATTTATTTACTATCGAAGAGTAGAATCAGAGGAATCATAGAGATTGTACACTCATATTATTTGAAATCAAATACTACGATTGTTGTAATATTTTCGGTCTTGATTTTATTTTCTTGACGCAAATTTATTGTCTACACGTACTATAGTCTATGATTAACTCTTACATACAATACATGCAAATTGTTCTGCAGAAAGAGCTTGTAATTTGTAAACGAGATTTCATAACTATCAAATAACTAATTTCCGTGGGAAGTGCATACAATTTAAGACATAATCGTTTACGTCAAACCCAGTGTCGAAACATTTCATTTCCTTTTTCTTTTCAACGTGATGAACAAGGCAGTAAGTAAATTTCAATTGACAATATGGACACAATATCAGTGAAATTATTCTGCGACATAAAGGTTTGAATTGAAGTCTTTTGATCGCTGATATGTACCTTCAGACCCATTTTTCCCTTGGCTGTATTCAAACTGCTAAAACTGACTTTTTTTGTATTGTGTATGTATTTCCTTAGTTAATCTACTCTGGTTGTTTTGATGAAAATTTAACAATTGAGATCAAGGATATTTAATTACTCCAATTCAACAGATATTAAGGAAGTAACATGGCAACCAATGCTCGCAATGGGAACTGATGGCCCCGCATTTAAGGTAAAATCAACTCTAAGCAATATTCTGGCGCTGTGGCACATGAGACAGGCGAATAGCCGCTCATTTTCAAGAAACAAAAGAAAAGAAAATATATATGAACTGAAAAATGGTGAGAATGAATACAAAGTATCATAAAAATTGATCAATTTACACAGAAAGAACAGAGCCAGCGAGCTCTTCAGTTCACCAACACTAGAAAATTATACAGTAAACTGAAAAAGAAAAACTGTAATCCACGAACGGAGGGACTTGTGCTATTCTGTAGAAGGTGAAGACATCAACAGTTTAAATAGAAACCCAACCATTATCCCAATGACTCCCACAACGAGTGCAAACTTTAGAGAGAAGCCTGCATCACCCCTCCGATTTCTTCGTCTCTTAAGAACTTCCTGCAAGTTCGTGAAGCAACATACATGAGAATGGTGGCCAACTATATACCAATGGATATATGCAAGATGATAGAATTTTAACTGAAGTTTCAAAATCGAAGAATTAATTATGGACAAATGAAGCCATCACCAACGCTAGTCGTAGATCCAGATAAACAAGAAATTTCAAAAGGTAAGATTATTATTGTTGATCTATAGCTATCTTCTTCTTGTGCTCTTTTCTATTAGGTTGATGTATAGTTTCTCTATGCAGCCAGTTGAGTTCCACGTCTAAATCTTTTTGCATAATCCCTGCCTGCTTCAAATAAAGCCAAGCTAAAAGTCTAAGCAAGTTACTATTCCTTCCCATGTGAAACAGTATTTTCAACTCTTTGGTTTTCTCTTTTTGGTTCCCAGAACTATTATGTCTTTTGACCTTATCTAGTGACTGTGTATAAGGACCCAAGATTATAATGAACTAATAGCAAGTCAACATATCACTTCCAATTTAACTTCTGCTGCTTTTTTGTATATCAGCTAGGATTAATCTGATCAGATAGTTCTGCATATGGAGCCACCTTATGTACTAATGTATTAGTATTAAAAATTTGGACAAGCATATACCTATACATGGATGAATAATTATAACAACTAAATAAATAGGAAAATGTTGAGTACACTAACCACTTCCTGTTGCAGCTGCTGTGTTTGTCGGAAAGCTGCATCCCTTTCATCTCTAGCACGCTGCAATGCTTGACTCTATATCAAAGCAAAAGCATATAGTATGGTATCAAACTTGGGACGAAGATAAAATTCTCCATCTCATGTATAAACTTGGGATTATGATTACAGATAAATCTTTTCTACCTACATGATGTGCAAGTCTCCATATGCTTAGAACCTAAAACCTTCCGAAGGTCGTGGAATATTTGTTCGCCCAGAATATCCAATAGGGAGCTTTACACATGTCAGTAACAAAAGCTAAATGGGAAGTACTTCATCGACAAATTGATTAAATTTAATATCTAATTTACGGTTCTCTTTTTCAAACTGGAGAAGTAGAACTTTCTATATTGAAACGCTTCATCTGGCATTAACTGGGGATACAAAGCAACATGGTTCTGAAAAGTACTCCAAAATGGAATATGGCCCATGATTTGACCAGGTTCTATGGGGATAGGTGAAAAGATTAAAGCAGGTCATGTCGAATTTCAAGTGACTGATGGGTGAGAAAAGCAGGTTACATTGAATTTCAAGTGACTGACGGGTCTAGACAACTTGCCCAAAAAGAAATCCTGTTTGAAAATAATAATAGCAATTGCTCCTTTTTTGGGGATTTGTTCATCATGGAAATCTCCATATAGGGTCACGCGATAAGGATATTCCATTCTAAATTAATTCTCCTCAAGTAGTTCCTATGGAGCAGGGAGAACGAGTATCTCCACCACCAAGGAAAAAAGTGCTCGCAATCACGTTTTCAGAGAGACAATAACAAAACCCTCCAGAAAATTTATCATCAATGTTTCTATTAAATGTTTTTGGTTGAGGCGGGGTTCGAATCTTAACCTGGTAGAGTGTTTCCTTATCCAAAAAAACAATAAATCATCACTGTTTTTTGTTATCCTTGACATCCTAATAATCAAGTAAACCTTTTTGATGAAGAATAATCAAGTAAACTTTATACCACCACCCTATTTGCTTTATCAGGTCCCATGAACTCCTTTGATTCCCATTCTTCTCAAGGGAGGGAAATAGCCAGTGACATGAACGGCTATTTTTATAAAATAAAAGTAGTAGTATCTTCTATTTCTTAATGGTTAAACATTTCTTCTTAGGATTTGTTACGAGCAACGAAGACGATCGGGGGAGATGAGATGGGTACATGTCTGTTCTTCGACAACCATTTTATTCTCAAAAAGCAGAAGAATTATCATAGTCTGTCCTCTCTTCAAATTTTTTTTTTTTGCCATTCACCTTTTTCATCCAGAAAAATATCTTTAACCTCCCGTCACAAACTAAAGCAACAACCTAGAGCACCTAATCACCCTCACCCCACCCCCAAACCAAAAAAAATAAAAAAAATAGAGACATCTAGACATTCAAAATGAGCATCCACAGAAAAGTAGAAAGAGTACTGGCTTTATAAAATCTAGCAACACGTGGCTCTCACATATAGGAAAGGGAAAATGGAAACGGGAAAAAATAAGATGACAAGTTATATATGACAAAAACTTTCTTGAGATCTCCAGATGTTTTTAAAGAAACTTTACGTCACCTGTCATATATCCTAAGAAATCGAGCAGCATGACTTTTGGAAGAAAAAAATAAGGACATGAAAAATAAACTAGACTATGACTTGAATTTAGAACTTACAGAGTTGACATCAGAACTTTGTTTAAACGCATCTTCAGATTGTCCAGGAGATGAGTGAGGAGAGATGTAGACAACCCTAAGCTTGCACTCTTCTACAGTTCTTCCACTATCCTTATTAAACTGGATTCAGAAATGTCCATCAATAGCATAAAGTGAAAAAAAAAAAAGATAACAAGCATTCTCTCTTTAAGCATAATACAGAAAGCCATCCAAATTCTTACAGTATCGGGAGAAAGTTCGTCAGAATCATTATTCACAATGGTGCTCTGTAGGAGGAACTTGTCCTTGCATTGCATATCCGGAGGGTACTCTTTTTGCGCTTGGAGGGTGACTAGAGACATTACAAAGTTAAGAACAATATAGGAAAACCAACCATTAAAAGGATGTCAATTCATTTTTCTTGATAAATGAAACCATAAAAGGATGTCAGTGTCAGGATGGACAACTCAGATGTTACAAGATGAAAATCGTGAGTGCAATGAGGTGCACCAAATGGATATCCAACTGCATAGGCATACTCTTAGTAAATAAAGACATCACATTAGATTTCTACGTTACAGATTATGTTGCGCGGGCTCTCCAAAAATGTTGCCTTACCCGGTGTCGGATCCTCCAAAAATGCACTACTTTTGGAGGATCCGACGCCCACCCGGCAACATTTTTGCAATGTCCGAGCAACATAGGTTACACCGTTACAGATGATAAATGGACAAATTGTAGAAACATTTGTCAAAGAATACCTGTTCTAAGATTTTTTTTAGTATATGATTAGTATAATACCCCTGTTCCTAGTCTCTCAATATATAATAAGGATGTAATAATCATCGCAAACAAAGGGTAGTATCTGCCATGACAAACATTTAACAGAAAAGAAGATTGGGCTATGCCGACACAAACCACTGTAAGCCATTAAAGTAATTCCTAGTCAGAATTTTGAAAGATAAATTTATCCTACCTAAGTTTTATCCAAACAGCAAAGGAGTAAGCTAATCCAAGCCAATATTTGAACAATTTGTGCGTACATTTGCTATATACCAAGATACCAACAACTGCTCTTTATTATATTTTCTGGCAAATGGTGGTGCCAGTGTAAATAAACTTTTATGCAGTACTATGTTTGCCTAAATATTCTGCTAAAACATTCAAAGCTAACTGTGGTATAACAGATTAAAGTGCTTCTAATAGAACTTCAGGATTTGGAGTGGCACCTCGTATAAAACATGAATCCCAGGGATGTATGACACCCGTGTTTGGCCGAACAAAGTACTTTTTAGGAGAAGTAGTTTTCACCTAACAAAGAAAATGATACAGGATATACCTAGATATGAGTTGTAATAGTCATTAAAGAAGTGATGACGGAATTGTGAGATTTTGTCAAATTGAGCTAAAGCATACCTTGAAAGCAACACAATGCTCTGTGCTGTTTGTAACTTTAAGATCGCAGTAGCTTTGTTTCTCCAGCTCAACTAACACAGAAAAGCCAAGCAGTAATTAGGTAATGTATGAAAGTGTATGCCATGCGAAGTACCAACAAAAGGCTCAAACAAGGAAAAAAAGAAACAAATTCTTAGTGCAGCCCAAAGAACTTACTGAGAAAAAAATTCAGAGAATGAACGTGTAAAGTACAAAGATCCTGATCCTGTTGCTGGTCTAAATGTGCTACTGTTGAATATGCTCCTTTGCATAAGAAAATTATTTTTGTAATTGCAAATGAACATTATTGGAGCGCAACCTTTTCTTCTCTTTTTTAATCATTATTGGAAGAGCAAGCCGTTGGCCACATTTGTTGCGTGTGGTATCTTGTGTCAATAATTTAAAAAACTGTATCCAAAATAGTATATTTTGATATAAAGAATTTACAGTATCCCAGAAACAGCCTCTCTACCCCTCTAGGGGTAGGGGTAAGGTCTGCGTACACTCTACCCTCCCCAGACCCCTCTGGTGGGATTCTACTGGGTTGTTGTTGTTGTTGTATATTCTTAAAACATTTATTTGAGGTACAAAACCCAAATAAAGTATAAAAAGGTTATTGTTTGTCATTTGTAGATAGAATATCTCATGAATATCAATACTATTTTAGTGACCTAGTACTTGAATTCAAAATGATTAATATTGTCTGAACCTATAAAGATCAAAAAATAAATTAAGCTAATTAAATAAAATAAGAATATTGTTCGTTATTGTATCGTTTTTAATTTATGAGGTACAAACTTGTTATCTGGTCATATCACGATACTCCTCTATAGACGATGCCTGTTATGTATATTCCTTTCTACTGTATCAGTTTCTCTATCTTGACCAAAATTATTGTCGTTGCTGATATCACTCTTGATAGTGGATTACACTTGCTCATGTAATAAAACACTTTGCCACTGATACATTCTAACAATATGAGGGCCTATTTTTATTGTCATTGCAAAATAAAAACATACTGAAAATTCTTTCTGATATTTAAAAGAATAGCCCTTTATGTTTTTGGGACTGAGTTCTATATGTTTACACGCTCATGTAACAAAACCCTTTGCCACAGATACAATCTAACAATATGAGGGCCTATGTTTGCTCTGCATCATCGTCCCTGAGTTCTATATTTTAAGCTCTTTAATTTTACATTTCTCATTTTTTCCTTAATAACTACTCATTCCTTTAACTACTCTTATAGGAATGACATGGCATTGAAAATCACAAAACTTTGGAGGCTATTTTGGGATGTTATATACATCTAGTTTATGTGTCAAAGTCTTTCTTTTTATTACTTAAACTTTGTCCCCAATTAAACACCATCATACAAAAATGAAATTGAGGGAGTAATAGGTGTATGCCAATTGCCAACTTATCTAATTTGTGCTGCAAATGCCAATGAGATGGGAAAAGGAAGAGACTTCCTGTGGGACGATAAAGCTCAGAAGAGGAAGCAGCATCTAGTTAAATGGTCTGAAATGATAGCTACAAAAAGACATGGAGGAATAGGGGTAATGAACTTGAAAGTACCAAAAAGAAGTCTCCTTATCAGGTGATTTTGGATATTCCATATACAACAAGAATTACAATAGAAAATATTGAAAGGGAAAAGTCATATGGAAAATCCAAAAGACCCGGGAATACTCCTATGGGTGGCATTGTGGAGGCAAATAAATTGTTACTTGAGAGAATTCCTTAATTTAGAAAGCTTAATGAGGTCAGTGAAGCAAAATAATGCTGTAATTAGATCTGTGGGTGGAAAAGTGCACCTGAAGCAACAATTCAAGACTTATATATCTTAGCATCAGTGCATCACAGATTGTTGTCACTTTGCAGATATCAGAGATGAAAATGGGTGGCAAATTAATTTCACAAGAGATCTCCAGGATTTGGAGATTGAAAGAGTGTTGCTACTTCTTCAAAGCTGGAAGAACAGAAGTCACATCTTTTGACGGGAACATCTCACACTGGAAAGCAAGGAAGAATAGGAAGTCTTATGACCTGTTGATCAATGCAGGTGAGTAACACAGTGGCCTTGTGAAGTCATTAGGAAGTCAAAAGAGCTCCGCTAAAGCAGCCTGCTTTGGAAAGTTAGCTATAAAAAAGCCATGATAGAGGAGTTGCTTCCACGTAACTAAGCTATTACATATGTGAATGTGCTCCAGAGTCCTCCAATCACTTTTTTATAACTGTAGCAAGACATGGTATGTCTGGCGTTTATTCCTTGATCTTTATGCAATGTGCTATGCCTAAGATACTAAAGGAGAACTTCCAAAGCTGGGAGGGGTAGAAAGTAAAGAAGCAACTCAGAACACTGTGGAGAATAGTTCCTTTGTGCATTCTCTGAACTGTAAATATTTTGGAGCATCCACTTAGTACTATGATTAATAAAATCATCTTTCTTATCGAAAAATATAGAGAGCGGATTCATTCAGCTGATCTAACTTACTGAGTTACTTGGTCCTGAAAATAAGTCAACAACTCTGGAATTTATATTTCACAAGTTCATTTCTACTAGCGCCAAGATTTTGGCTTCCATGTTTGACACACAAAATAGCAGAAGAAATTATGTCTGCATATAAGGTTTAACTTAACTATACTGATTAATATCTCACACATACTCACCCTAATATATTGGATGAACAATCACTCTTTTGGCGCCGTCAAGTTCACAGTTGAGCGAGCTAATATTTTGCACAAATAAATCGAGAAGAAAACATTAACAGCAAAAACCATATCCTTACATGAAGTCCTTTCAAATCTCTTTCACCACTGCAACTTAGCCCATAGTCACCTTCTTGTACCCTCTACCTGCCGCCACCCTGCCCCTCCCCCAACCACGAGATAAGCTTAAAAATAGATCTGATCAGCAATCAGATCGTAGTGAGACCAGCTCATTTTTTGTTTCCTCTGAACGATTTCACCACAAAGCTCATAATTTTATGATAAAATTTCAAATACATTAGTCTGTAAGTGCTAATAAAACGTAAATTTGACAACTTTTTCACCCTGCATATTGCCCTTAAATTTCTCCATCTTCTCTTAATTCTCTCTCACATTTTATCCCCAAAGTCTAGATACGACACATTCTACAGGCCGTTCCATTTCCTTCTTTGAAACACCTTAATGACATTCAATTGCAATTAACCAAATCAAAATAATAACTTACCTCATCACAAGACATAAAATTAAAACAAAAGCAAAAAAATCGCAAAAATGGAAACAAAAATCTGTGTGTGTGTGTGTGTGTGTGTGACAGAGAGCGCTTACATTGGAATCTGAGCTCCTCAGGACTAACAGATATCAACTGGTTGTTAGTACCAGTCATGGTTACGAACCTCAAGCTGATCAGCCCCCTATCAAACCGAACCTAAAAAATACAAAACAAAAACATACACATACACAAACCCTAGGTTACCAAAATGTATCCTCTATCACAAACAGATAAATACATCAAATGCAAATATACAAAACAAAAAAAAAAAAAAACTGTTTCCAAAAAAAGAAAACTTGATGATCATAGGAATGCCGTTGAAAATAAATAGGAGAAGAAGGAATTTTACCTGAAAGATCCGTGTAGCTTTTGAGAGAAGAAGAAAGAGAAAGAGGGGGGGGAAAAGTGAATAGTTATGTTATGAAGGTTTCTTATACAGGTAGGTGTGGTGGTGTGGGTGTGGGGGTAATGGGGGTAGGGGGGTATCAATCATCAATAATGAGGTGAGGGGCAAGGGAAAGGGGAAAGAGAGGAAAGGGAGGGAGAGGAGGTGGTGGAAATGATGGCGTGACACATGGCGAATGTGTGCGGATAGTGACGTCCGATTCAAAAGCGAATGTTCGGACTGGTTGCTCCTTCTATTTTGTGGGGTCCACTTCAGTTTGATTATTCATCGGATAAATACGGGATAATTCTTCGATTAAATAGTTTAATAATGGCTAAAATTTACTCGAGTCATATCAATAAATGTATTGATTATATATATATTTGTCCTCAACTTGTTCACTTAATTACAGTTAGTAGTTTGATAATGGTTAAATTTACTAGTCGAGTCATATTAATAAATACATCATCATGTGTTTGTCCTTGATTTTTTTCAATTAGCTATAGTTAATTAATATATTTATATTTATATAATCTTAAATTACTTAACTACAAGTCTATATAATTTGATGTAAAGATCAAGTCGATTAATTTTATTTTCGATAATATTGTTTTATCTTTTCTCAATATCATTTGTACATTTGAGTTAGTCAGATTAATAAATTTTGGATATTGGACACTTACAAACAAAAATACATTAAAATTATGTGTCCTTATTTAAATTATTTGGTTTATACCAGGCATCAGTATATTCGTGTTAGTTCATTTTGTTTTTTGTTGTCTTCGACGTGTTAACGTAATTTCTTAATTGCGACATTTTCCATTTTGTTTCTGACTGGTTCAGTATTATTTTATGTTGTTTAATACATCTTTTGCTGCTTGCTATTCTATATTTGAGTGCCGAATAAAAGTATTGATCTTTCGGATATTTTGAATCAAACATATCCAAATTTATCAGCTTTTCTTTTTAAAAAATCAATTTTGGCATTGGTAATTATTCTTAATTTGTTTAATATAACTAGGAGGATATGAAGAAACACAAGATTTTATCTAAATGCCCATGAAAATCAAGAAGGCCAATTTTCAGTTTCAGCGGACTGTCTAATTTTTGGAATTTCAGAATTGGCATCCCAGCTCGATGTCAAGGTTTGACTCACTGTCTCAATTAATTAGATATGATCTAACGCGTACAATGAATTGCTATACTACATTTAACTTTAATGTGAATATTGACACTTGAGCTTATTGTGGTGCTTATATATATATATATATATATATATATATATATATATATATGTAGGAGACAATCGGGCGTAATTTGGAAAGAATACACGGAATTTGAAGCCAAAACAGGAATTTTTTGAGGATTTATAAAATGGCGTCCAAAAGGGCGCAAGGCACCAACTAAAACGCCAAAGGCAGCAGTACACAAAGTGCAGGAAATTTGGGCGAGCCCCGAATCGGCAAAGGCAGCAGCACAAATTCTTCAGCGCCACAGCTATAGAAAACGGCGAACAATATCATAATCAAAGGAAAGAACATTTAACTCCCCAACTAGTGATTGCATCATTCATATTGAAAAGGAGTATTGTCGAAAAAGATTCAATAGATTGGAGAAAAAATAAAGCAAAAATGAAACAACCTATTTACTAATGTTTGATGTAAATTACACTTAGAAGACTTTCAATAAAGAAAAGGAACAAAATTATCAAGGAAAAGGACAGTAGAAAGGATTCTCATTTGAAAGTAGAGAGCCTAGGGAGTTTGTCACGCAAATAGTACAATCTTGCCCGCCTGACTTTCCGGTGCTTAACTACTTTGAGTTCCTTGATATTTGGTGAATACCTGTCATGAAAACCAAAAAGGAGAATGATATAATAAGTTCCTGTTTTCTTGACTATGTAAGCATAAAAGTTATGCTGTGACACTATATTCTTGACTATGTAAGCATAAAAAGAATACTAGACGGCGAGTTGACCCCCATCCATACTCAGTAGAAAATCTAACATGCCATTTGCACACATTACTTATTTATATATGCTACATTTTGACAGAAGAAACTTGTTCTTCCTTTTATCTGTAATTCTGATGATAGAAATTCAACATAAAAGTATGGATGCCTCAAAGGCACGTCAAGATTACATTTCTAGATGATACTCCAAATTCAAGTCATGTCTCCAAGCTTGAAAAGGAGACGAGAACAAAGATATCCAATATAAGAACAACTCAACAAAGGAAATATGACTAATAAGGTTGATTTCAAGGTTTTCTATTCCTGAGATTTTCACTTTTAAGTTAAATCGCATATGTAATCCCCAAACTTTTAGCAAGTTCTGCTTTTGTTTCCTAAATAACTTAGTGTCTATGTCAGTAACTCAAAATGGTTCTCCCACTACTTTCCAATTTCTTTTACGCGGACCCCTGTGGCAGCCATGATTATAATCACCCAAGGGCAAGATGAAAACCAGAAAGGTCTTACATGGAAAGGTGATTTAAATCAAATAGGAAATAGAAATGATCCATAGAAGTATAAGACCACATTTTCCCCATATTTCCACAAAGGTGAGACGCCATTCATCATTTTTTACTCTATCATACCATCAGAAACTAGCATGTCTGACTAATGAAGAGAAAGTGAGCAGTGAACTACAAAAGGCATATTTGTCGTTAGGTGACCTTCAGGACGACGAAGATTTGCCCAGTCCAGATTTTGCAGTCCATTTAGTCAATTTGGTAATTATTCATTTCAAGAATAGCCAGAATCTAAAGGATAAAGAGATTCTTGGGAGTGTGAGGAAAGAAATGTGTTGACCCTGAATAGCTTTCTAAGGATGCTAATAGTTCAAATATATGAAGGTGATTGATAGATGGTAATTCATTTCTGTGCGGACTTTGACGAGTAGAAGATTTTGATGGCATGAAAGAGAGACACAAAATGACAAATCAGAGTTCCCTAAAGTGACCACAAGTCATTCAAGCTCTCTAAATTATTTCCATGTTTTTTGTGTCTACTTTTGCTGCCACTGCCTAGATTTCCCTAAAGTGACCACAAGTCATTCTGACTGTCCAACCCAAGTTATTGTATCAATCGTGTGTGTTGCCACGTCTCATATACCCCCTTTTATACATGCCGATAGTGGCTGACACAGTTATCGGGAATGAAAAGTTTAACAGAGGTTGGCCAAGTAAGCATACAAACCTTTAATAGAATAGGGTAAGGGATTCAAATAATTGTTTGTAACATTTTAAAGCTAATGTTGCTAAGTTTCAAACACATATCAAAAACAAGCAGACAGTTTGCAACCACTTTGCTGGTTGACTACGAGTCTATGAGAAATTGCAAATGTCACTCGGAGCTGCAAGCATATCCTACCTTAATAGTACCATATCATATACCTGTACCCCGTTTTTTGTTTAAAACATTCATGGAGCATGATGCTAATGCAGCTAAAAGTGACAGCCAACAAGCTACTATACAAGTATCCACAGCGGAAACCATAAAACAAATTTGCAAAGTCACCACATTAAAGCACAGAAAGTAAGACTTACACTGGGAACACTATTTCAACTCCAATGCCAGCAATGATCCTCCGAATGCGAATTGTGGTGTGAATACCAGCATTTTGTTTTGAAATGACTATACCTTTATAAATAGACAACCTCCTCCTATTCTCTGGGACTTCCTACAAGTTCATACACATCCTTCCAAATTATACTTTTGAAAGTCTCCTAACTCTACCTCAAACCAATTTTTTTAATTTTTAAAAAACGATAAACATACAGATACTTACCAATTTGATCTCAACAACATCACCAGTCCTAATGTCTGGTATAGGCCTTACAGCATCTGACGCCTCAATTGCTTGCTTATTCAATATCTACTCCAACAATAATGCAACATTCATCAAATTAGCTTAATATTAAGTTTCCCAAACCTCAGTATATACATTTTCACGCCAAACTCAACAACTTTACACAATTCAAACAAGAGTCAATTAATCAATTAGAAAAATAGAAAAGAGTGGTGTTTAAACAAAATACCCCCATTATATCTCCAAGCTTAGCTCTCGGCTTAAACGGTGGCCTTTCTTCAGTTGCAACTGCTGTTTCTGCTATGGCAACTTCCTCAGTCTCAGCAGCAGCTTCTGGTTCCCCTTGAGAATCAGCTTCAGCTTCAGCTCTAACAACAAAAGAACGACTTTCCCATTTTGAACTTAGCCCCATTGAATTGTGTGAAAACAATGACAAATTCAACTGAGAGGGTCTACGACAAACACAGGCTGAAAAAGCTAGCTTCTTAGGTTTACATGTTGTGGGGTTTCTTGGAACTACAAATAATGCCTGTAAAATTCAATAAAATCATAAATTTTTAACACGAAAATGCAAGAATCTTGATAATAAGGAAAATAAAGAAGGGTTGCAGACCTGAGGGAAAACAACGGAACCCATTTTCTGGTATGATAAGTGAGGTAATTTAGGGTTCTTTTTGTTAATGTTAAGAAGTGAAGGAGGTAGAATTCATGGAAATGGAGAAGATGTGTTACAGTAGTGAATGGTGAAAAGGGGAAGGAAGAACGCCTTATCCTATTAACGATGTTATCTGCAGAAATGTCTCTGTCTTTGCGTTTTGCTTATCTGGGTATTCGGGTCTTCGGATATTTCCTCAAGCCTAGTAGAAATGACATCGGGTAGCCACTCTAAAGGTCTTCTATTTAGAAATTGACCAATGTATTCTGAATTTCAATTGTTTTAGTTTAACTTTTTGGGATATAAATATTCTGAGTTATACTAAAATTAAGATTTTTAGTTCAAAATTTCACAAAAAATAAGCACCGGCTATTTATATAAAGATGCTTGTTTGAAGAATTAACCCAAATAGCCGCCCACCCAACCACTTAAACTAGAAATAGCAGGTGAAAGTATAATATATACATAACTTATGTATTATATATGTATAGTTGTATATAATCAATGTACACTCTATATATATGGCTAAGAAAAATAATAATAAATATGACCGGCTATCTGTGTAAAGATCCCCTAGTTGTTTGTGCACTCTTAAGGCTTTGGCGGCCCACCTCTTTATGTCTTGTGCAACTGGGCCTTTATTTTAGCTTCTGGCCCGTGATAGCACCCACGAAGGCCATATTGTCATG